GATCATGTTGGTGACGTGTTGGGTTCCTCTTGTTCAGTCTGTTTATTGGTGTCCCTCTTTCTGAAGTGGTTTTTGGTTCGGCCACTCAGAAATTCTCGCAGGTGTCCATTATTAAATAACCAGTAAACTTCTTCTCTCAATTGTCAACAGTCCTCGATCCTGTGTCCATGAGTTCCATGATACTTACATATCAGGTTAGGATCTCTCCGGTTAGGATCGAACTACAATGGTCGAGGCCACTTGGTCTCCTTGACGCGCTCGATGGCAGATACGATGCTGGCTGCATCAACATTGAAGTTATACTCTAATAATCTCGGAGCTTCCCTTCCCCCGAGCGGCCTGTCGATAGCATTTTTGCCCATCAAGCCTCGGCTAATGGGCCCTCGATCGCTTCTCCTTTCGTTCCTTGTAGAGTTACGTCTGGACCCGTTTCCCCTTCGATTTGCACTGTATGATTGATACCGATCTCAAACCGGCCTTGATTCATGATCGACGACTGTCTTAGGCCTGTCATCGGTTCCGATAGGATAAACGGACTCGGAAGGGGATCTGAGTTAGTCATCCTCAACTCTAATTTTTGATTGGTACTTGTTGTGGACTTCTCGGTTTTAAGGATATGTGGATTGATTCGATACAAGTAATCAAGAACGTTAGATAAACGAATTAAAGATAAAATAAATAACCAAACCAGTTGAGACGTTAAATCCGTGCTCAGATTCAAGCTTAACAATAGTTCTGCCCTCGACCGGACCCTCGATTCGGAGCCAAATGTGTACGAAGAACTATGATTAAAATAAGAAATTTTCAATAACTAGAAAGCAGAGAAACAAGTTTATATTGCTTTGATGTGCGTGTTACAATATGTATTGAATGAAAAAGCTTCCCCTTTATATAATAGGAGAGTTTCATCCCTAGTACAATTCTAAAAAAAGTAAAAATTCTCTTTTCTCGTCAATTACTGATATGTTACCGACGTCGGGCGAGATTCGCGCCGTGATACCCAGTTGGGTGCGGATATCACAGCTTTCTGTTAGTCATGTGCAACCGTTCGTAGTGCTTCCCGAGGTTTAGGAGCTCGCTCTGGGTCCGGGGAGCATTGTCTTGCTAAGCTCGGTGGCGAACACTCCATTCGGCCCCTAGTACGAGAAGTCCCTGGCTTCGATTCTGATCCCATGCAGTCATGTCTCCGCGTCGTTCTACCCATCGGGAAATCGGGGTATATGTTACCCTCGGTTTTACCCGTATACAAATCACAACGAGGAGTTAGTGCTCAGTAAATTGTTAAGCTTCTCTAATTAATATGTTTCTTGTATGAATCTTAGGACCGTGCTCCTTGCCTGAGTTAGATAGAACACCAACTATACGTCTCAAGAGATCTGACATTGTTTCCAACAGTCCCCGTTCTTTATTTGTGGGATCGAGTAGTTGCAATTCCTATGTAATGTTCATGGCAATCAACTGGTTGAACCCACATTTTATCTTTCATTTAATTTTCCTTTTGATCATTTCACTTTAATTATTTGCTTAATTTTAGGCACGCTCCCGCTGTTTTAAGGCATGACATTAAGTCATTCCTATTGTGGAAATACTATACAAACTAATAATAATATGTTTGCAGGATTCCCATTATATAAGAGGGTAACCGTTTGTTAATAAATATACTAGAGGTTTATCCGTGATTGAATTATTTTGTTTTTCATTTTTTTTCTCCGTAAGAAAATTATATGACCTAATGGCAGGGGAGCTTGGAAAGAGCGATGAAAATGGTAGTGGAGGAATGGACCACTTATGAGATTTAACACATTGTTTGAAGAACAAATCGTAAATCATCAAGTATAAAGTTGACTGTCCCTTGTGTTACTCAGTTCTTTTACCCAGTCTTTTAGGAATTGAATGGATATTATTCTTACGCTCGTTATTAGCTGATTTTACGCTCATTCTCTTGTTTTCATATTATACGCCCAGCAGCCTACATAAAGACTAATTTTATAAGATTTCACTCTTTTTCGTGTCTTTTGTGATCTACATAATTTGTTACTCCTCTGCTTTGTGCTGTATTTGCTGTAGTTTTAACATTTGTAACTGCCTTCTGTTTTGTCTAGTTTAACTTTTCTATCACACTTCTTCACATGAACAAACGCTGTCTCTTCTTCATCTTCATATAAGGTTGGATTACCAATTCTCTATTTCTTTGTTGATTTTTGGCTTTTACTTCATCAATTCGGTACCATTTGTTATATTTTTATGTTTATGTAAACCTCAAACATAACCAGGTTTTTTGCATATATTGTAGGAAATAATTTCAGGGGCAGAATGACAACTAGTATTGACAGCTATTCACGAGAAGAAACTGTAAATGATATTCTATTGAGGTTACCCGTGAAATCGCTGTTGCGATTCAAATGTGTATGTAAAAGCTGGCACGATCTTATTAAAAGCTCGAGTTTTATCAAGAAGCACTTTGATAACGAGAGTAATCGTCCTCGTCTCTGGTTTTGTAAGTTTGGTGTTGACTATAGACCACAGCCCCCTTTAAGAGCTATTAACTTTTTCTTGCTCCCTGAGAAAATAATTGCAGGCGTCGTCCCTGCTCGTCAGAGGATTTATCGTTGCGAAGGTGTTAGTGATTTTAGAGGTATTTATGGTCCAGTTGATGGCTTATTCCTATTAGAGAAAGGACATTTTCTACTTAATGTTCGGTTTGCTTGGTGGAATCCTGCTACCAAAGAGTGTAGGATTATTCCTATGGTACAATTTGAGCTTCAGAGATTTTTCGATGAACATGATCGTGTAGTTGCAATAGGGTTAGATTCAGTGAATCAAGATTATAAAGCATTAACGCTACGAATATATACGAATGAAGAGAAGAACGAGGTTTATCCTAAGGTGTTTGCTGCTATCTATTCGTCGAATAATGACTCCTGGAAATACCTGGACCCGAATTTCCCTTACGATAGTAACTTGTGTGAATCCCTTGATTGTACTCATCTAAATGGAGTTTATTATTGGTTGTGCCTTGACAAAGACAATGTATATAGGCATTACAACGTTCGACTTTGTGACCGAGCTGTTTGAGGAAATGGAAGGACCGCCGATTTCAGGTGAACACTGGGGAGCTCTGATGTTGCGCGGAGGCTCTCTCGCTGCAATGTCTTGTGATGAAATGGCTCAGCCTCAGACATCGTGTTATGATATATGGGCAAGGATTGGAGAGAATAATTGGATTAAAGTTTATACTGTTAATCCTCCTATAACTTGGCATTGGCCTCTTGGCATGTGGGGGTATGATAAGTTTATTTATGAAATGACACAAACTTACAATAATGTGTATTATGACCACACTGCTAAAAAAGTTACAGATTTTGGTTTTAATTTCACTGATATAGGCTCTGGCAGTATTTGGCCTATACGTTACAAGGAGAGCCTAGTTCCAATAAATAGAGAAAATCCGACTGAGCAGGATAATCTTGAATATTTCTTCACCAAGTTTTAGACATTCTTAGCTAGCCTCTATTTCATGTATTTGTGGCACACGTTTCTCCTATTCGGTTCTTTCATTTTTAAGTTACTTCTAGGTATTGTTGTTGCCTTGTTAGATAATTGTGACACAAATTTGTTAAAAAACGAGTTCAACAAAGCTAGTTTGTAGTTCAGTTTGTTCTCTGGAAGAAAGGTTTTGTGTTGTATATTTGTGCTCTATATGAAATATATATGTGCAGTTGTTTTTCCTCTAATTTACCGAATTATATAAGATTTTGTAAGCCTTCTATAGAAGAGACAAGTGAACATCAAAGTTAATACGTCAGTTGCTTCGTCTAGTGTGTTAGATGCATTATGCATCATTCAAGTTCCACATAATCCCTCTCCACTATATAATCTTAACCCGTTCAAATGAATCTTTAGTTGAAGAAGATGACATTTATTTCCTTTCGATTGAAGATTATACTCATTTTTACCCGAAACAGTATAACTTTCCTTTCGAATTTTCATTTTCTCAAATTAATTCATCCTAAATTAGGATCATGGAATGATAGGTGCAAGAATCGGTTGTCATTAGGACTTGAAAACCAATACTTGCAACTTGATCCTATAATTTTTGCATGTCAACTTGAGGCTTTCGTCTTAATTAAACTCAAACTCATAACGTTTAAATCCTGACGACGAAAGGCGAGGAGATGAGATGGAAGGAAAAGAGAAGTAGTTAATGGATCAGAAAGAAAGATTTACTAAGCTTCAACCATATTTTCGTATTAATATGCGTATCAAGCGATATTACATAATTTTAAAACGGATTTGGGATAGTGTAGGCTAGAGTCCTTTAGCACCACATTATATTCATATAAAAAAACTGGTATAGTACTTCTTCAAATCCTTGCTAAGAATTCCACTTGTCCTTCAAATCCTACAGTCAATATAAAGAACAAAAGAAGAAAAAGGTAATTAGCTACAAGACAAACATCCATAGAATATATAATTTCTAAGATGATATTGATAACTAGCGAGGCCAAATTTTAAAAATCTGGTGACAACCTCTACGGGAAAAGAAATGTGGAGTTTATATGAAAGAAATTAAGCAACATGAAAAGTGAAAACACATACTTCATCGTATGTAGTTTATATACCAAAAAAACAAATTTGGAAAATTTGGGACAATGACCGTCACTCTGTCGTGGCTCCACCTTGAGCTATAGTAATTATTTACTAAACAACATAGCAACCTTCATTTTTATAAAAGGGTCTAATGGACTGGTTGGACAAAATTTGAAAGGATTAAAATGAATTTAATCAACAAAGGTGTTAGGTCATATCCGCCTAAAATTTATTTGGATCAAGATAGGTGGGTGAATTTAAGGTAATAATGACACCAGGTAGTCAGTCTAAAGGGCTCATTAGAAATTAGCCAGTGCGTCTTGAATTTTAGTTTTTTAGTTCAATTTTTCGGGACAAAAGTATACTGAAGTTAAAATTTTTAGTTTAAAATTTCAGGATAAAATATATACCGGCTAATCTCTAAATAACATCCCTGAGAATGGCTATGTGTGGACCCCAATTTAAGCTAAGTTAATTGATCATAGTCCAATCCAGACTAGATCTAACTAACCAAACCAAACAAACTTGGCCACATAAGCTATCCAGATTAGCCCAAACTTTTTGATTGTCTAACTTGGATTATACACAAATCGACCCGCCAATGAATATAAGTCCAACCCAACCCGTCCTAACTTGGACGAGTTGATCAGCTGGTTAGATTTTCATGGGCTAAATGTGACACATTTAATTATAAACAGGAGAAGAAGTTACTTGGAGCAATCAACTTTAGGGCTGATGGGTATTTTTGTAGCAAGTTTGCAGAGACTAGGGAGTTGTGCTGCTTTATCAACGTTTATAGGGAAAGCTTGCGCAGCAGACTTCAGGCAGCCACAGATAGCCTGGCGGTCCGGCTGAGACGCGGCGGCTTCTTTGTCAAGAGCTTGTGCTCCACTGCAACAAGCAACACTAGGGGACGACTCTCCACTCATTAAGAAATTTTGGCATGGGATTATCTTTAATATAACATCACTGCATTGAACGTCTGCATTCGCAAAACCTAAAACCAAAGAAAGTGTCACCAAAATGAGTGCTAGTAAAGTGTAGCTGGGAAGGCTTCTTGACATCTTTCTTGAATGTTAAGAAGCTAAGGTGAGAATTTTTGTGAATGAGAGCAAGTGTGATCGGATTTCAATTTATACTGCTCTAAGATATGGTCAATTTTGTAAATTTCCTCTTCCATCCAACAAGCAATAGGATCTTCCCGTTTTTCCCTAAGATGATTGTTTTTCATTTTCAGTGTGTAAACTTGAAATTATTGAAGGTAATGACTTTATGTAGTATCATCTCTTCAAGAAGAAAGCATCCAAGTGTAGACAATTTCCAAAAATGTTTCATGAAATTGGTTAAAGGTTAAAATCATCTTAATATGGGAGTTTTAAATAGAGTGAACAATTTGATTATCATCATAAGAAAAAGGAAAAGAGCAAAGAAAACAAAATGATCTTCTTTAAACACAAATTATTGATCTTTGGTATATCCTCTATGTAAAAATCAAAATCATCTTAATATATATAGGTGCAATTTCAACGTGAACTGACTCTGCGGTTTATACTAATTACATAATAAAAAGCTGGGTGGGGAGGGAGGGAGAGAAGATTTAAAATAAATGGATTAGCTATGCTAGCAAGCTTGCTAACGTTGCATTCCTATAACCATGAAGAACGTAAACATCACCTTAAAATAGGAAAATATTTTAGTAGTATAGAGTAGAAAAGAGGAAAAAATATAGGAAAGAAGAAGAAAGACACTCTTGAGTGCAAGTATTATGATAGAATCCACAAAATTTTATCATTATTAGCTTTCTCAAAGCATTCCCTACCAATTAAATACGACCCCGCCTATTAATTGTAGTTAAGAATAGAAGGATGCTTACCATATCACCTACCAACCTTTGGTGGTTGTAAGTAGGGTATTTACCTAGGGATTTTGTTAGTTGCGAATTTTCTTGGGGATAAGTGATTGCGTCTTTAGTTGGGGATTGTTTTCCTGAGAAGCATGATGTGTATTTGCGTATACTTTTCTCGCTTAATCATAGTTAATTGATATATTTTCGTATTTTATTTACTCATTTAACTATGATAAATTGATATTATTTGATGTAAAACTAGATGCAAGTAAAGTTTTTATCTTAGTAAACTTCTTCTACCGACTTGAATGCACTAACCAAATTCATTAACTAGTGAATTTCTCCATGATTCATCCGAATTTAATTTATGAAAAATGACAATAGTATTATGACTTATAATTTTTATGTCAAATTACTAGTAGACATTTTCTGACTTTTTAGTTAATAAACAAACTACTTTCATCTTAAAAAACTGATAAAGCAAACTAAATAATTTATTTGTTAGCCAATGAAAGATGCAGCTCACTGAAGTATATTATAATCCATATCTTATAAAGTAGAGCACATATAAGTTTCAAGTATAATTTAGATAGCTATATAATTATTTAATTAACTTTTAATATTTAAACTAATAAAATTTAAATTATGTGAGTATTCTGGGAGAACATGTTATTGTTTCTTGCAATAAGCTTAGCTTGTTTCATTTTTCTTAAACTTTATTTCAGATTTCAATTATGTCTTTTTTCATACACATGTTTAATCCTGGTACATTTACAGCAAGTGGGTATATGTCAGTTGTTCAGGCACTACTTGTGGAGCTACATGTACAATTTAACTTACATGTGCTAGGGTTCTTCAGCTCTTATAGGCTCTGAAGACATATATTCAGACATATAATACTTAGTTGTAGTGATTTTTATTTTTTTTCAGACTTTCATTACATATATTTTAAAAGAATTTTGTTTTGTGGATTGATTAATATTTAATTATACAAATGTGTTTTGGAATTTATCTTGTAACTTTCAAGTTTTAGCTGTTATTAAAATTTTTAGTTTCCATAGAACATGCAATGACACAATATTTACTTGAGAACTTTTAAATTCGCATATAATAATTATCTATAAATGTTTTTCCAACGGATTTCACTACTAGAAATTAGGCATATAACCGTTGCATAAGAATTTTGCGCCTATTAGACACTTTTGCAATTGAACCGTTGCAATAATGGATAAACCATTAGTATTTATTGCAACGGATATGCTAACTGTCGCAGTAGACACCTTTATGGCAACGACCCTTTGGTAAAATTATTTGTGGCAACGTTTTCAATTCTCCCAAATTTTTTCGCTTCTGATTTTTCTAGACCCGCAACCTTTTATTAAGTATATTACTTTCTTTATTTCTTTGTTTTTCTATGGCTATTGCTCTCACTAAAACTTAGATTTCTTCAATTCCTCGGATATGTTGCATCGCCGCCCAAAAAACCCTGCGGCAAAACTTTCATTAATCGCCGCCAGACGACCTAACCCCCCACCGGCAAAGCTTTTTATTGCTTTAAAGGCATCCAATGTTAGCCCTCAAGCACTGTAACATAACCTTCTTTGCCCAATTTCATTCGCTTGGTCTACATTAGTTTTCTTCGCTATTGTGGATCAAAATAGTCGAGGTTTCTTAATTTTCTTTATTGTGGGTCAGCTTCAAGGTAAGTCCAACTCATTGCTTCTTCTTTTTTATTCTAGTTTTTAAAAAATTTCTCATCTAAGTGGGTGAAACGTATCTCTAGGTTAATTTTAGATTTTGAGGGTGTAATTTGTGTGGGTAAATAGAGTTTTAACTATACTTTGTTATGTGATCGATTTAGATGTTGCAATAGGTGAGTTGCTCTTTTGTTGGGGTTAAAATTGAGCTTAATGGAGTATGTCATGTACCTCCATTGTTCGATAGAATGCCAGCCAAGTAGTAGCAAGTAGGCTTGTCAGTCGTCACATTTCTCTTCTTTGTTGCAAGAGTTAGTCACCATTAATGTCCCTGGATAATATTGTCGCGCTTACGCTATA